TTTTAAACCGTTAAAGTGTTTTATTTAAATGTGTACCACTCGCGTAAACTATAGACAGTATATGATAAGAAGTCTCACTCCATTAAATACAAGAAGTCTAAATAAAATGAAACAGTAAGGCACAGTTAAGTGGAATACCCCACATGGCGGTAACATTCTTATTTTTTGATGTTTTAGTGTGGGTATTATAAAAAAACATTTAAAAAATGGTATTTTCGGTAGCCCTGTTGGACGAAGTCCCCCTGGATCGACTGGTGAAGGTAGACTGTCAGTGGGGAGCCTGCAATTGTATGTTGACGAACGATTAAGGGACGCACCACCTAAGTAAGTATTAATTTACTATATCACAGCAGACAGTTATTTAAAAATAACTTAAAATGGTGAGTTAACCGATCAGAGCAGTAACACAGAACGGCAACAGTACAAGCGATAAGAATTTTTCATCAATACATACATACATACATACAATCCTTAAAAAAAATCATATCCAACAAACAAATACATACAAAAAAACTATAATATATTCATAATGTCAAATTAATTACTGTTATTAACTGTTAGCCTAGCCTTACGTTAAGCGCGAGGGGTCCTGACTTTGAATCCCGGGAAAACAATAAATTGTTTCGGTCAAGCAGGACACAACAGTCTAATTTATATGCCTGTAAATGAAACTGACCAGTGAAAAGGACACAGAAATGTGTTTGCCCCATGCTCCACGTGGGTAAACTTGATTTCACTTTCATTAGATTATTAAGCTATGTGACTTTTCAGATATACCAGAAACGCACCTTCTGGCTCATCTATTTACCCAGCACCAATTTATCTCAATTCCGGATTTGTAAGTATTCAGTGCCATTTCTTAAAACAATGGTTGAATGGACATGAAACCCTCGATATTCAAATTATATTTAATCTACAGATACACGACAACTCTCTGCCGCCTCCACCCTACACACCGGAAAGAAAAGACGAGAACAATCAAAATGGAAGTGTACACATGTGATATAGTTAAGCACCTGTATTGATAAGACTGTAAATATTACATAATATTTGTTAAGAAAATGTCTTATGGTTTTTTAAATACCTTACTGGAAATTTTAAAACTGTGTTTAAATATGCAGATTGTTTAGAGAGAAAACCTATATTGAGAGTGAGGCAGACTATTCAGTGGCTGTTTCACTGATTGATTTTAATTACAGGCTTGTTGTGAAATAACAATCTTAGTGACTACTCTGTCTTATCAAAATCATAAATTTTTCCCATAATGTAAACGTTTTTATTAACTAAATTATTTTCTACTGGAAACAGCAATTAAAAGGCATAATATTGGTTTACGGTGTTCCAGACATAGCTGATACCTTAATACCTACTATATATTACATATAATGTATCTGCAATATACCTGTAGGTTTGGCGGTTGTTAACATTAGGTAAATTACAGTAATGAACAAAAATTTCACAATAGAAAATTCTATTTATTTAGTTGGTAAGAGTAGTTAAGGCAGCCACCACATCACCTCTGTGTTCCCGTAATGTTCTCTCTGCTATACTTCTTGAGATTTCCATTTCTTTTACCTGAAAATTAAAAAAAATAATTTTACTAAAAGTAAATCACAAACTAATTATCAAGACCTATTTGTAGTGAAGCATGCAATACTAATAGGGTTAAAAAAATTAATTTGACAGGCTGGACTGGATGTCTTTCATTGGAACTCAGGTTAAATGTAAATAAAACACTTTAACGGTTTAAAACGCGATATATACTACGTTTACGTTTCGTCTTCGATGTCTCCCCGTGACCATGGCTGCTGCAAAGCATGGGAAACGTCAGGCCGAAATTAAAAATCATTTTCAAATAAGTTTAACTAATATATCGCGATTTAAACCGCTAAAGATTTAAATGTGTACTACTCGCGTAAACTATAGACAGTACTCAGGTTAAAATTAAGATTCTTGATTTGAGAAGAATACAAAAATATATAGGATACAAGGAACATACTCTTTGGACCATGAAAACTCTAATACAGTTGTTGCTCTAAATTATATGACATGATTGAGAATAAACGTTTAATTGTCAAAGTATACAATTTTGTCATAGTATAAAAATGAAACTATTTAAGTAATAAAATAACACTTACAATAAGTTCTATGTCTTCTTTTTTGACTGAAACTTTCTGTAGCTCTTTTTCTTTTTCTAGTCTCTCAGCGGCTTCTTTATTTCTTCTATCACCTATCAGCGAAAGAGCCTGAAAAAAACATAAGGTAAAATGAAAAATGTATAAGGACTGCGCCTTATAAAATCTTAACCAAAAAATAATAATACAACAAAAACAAATCATACCCCTGATATATCCTGGGACGATATTTCTTTTTCTTCTGCATAATCGGTAACTTTTTCTAAGTCAGCTACTCCACTATCATGCTTAGCAGTTTTCTTTTGATTTTTATCTTTGTCATGCTGGATATCGTCGGTATCTCCATTAATTTCTTCGTCAGCCATTACGGAAAACTAAAGTGATATAAATATTCATGTATCTGTAAAACCAATATTTCAGTTCTTAGAGTTACATTTTAATTAGAAAAACATTTAAATTCAAAAAATAATTCTCACCAACACTTCACATGTAAAAATACCAAATTTTGAATTCCTTATCTATGTTTTCAAATCAAGAGACCAATCTGACTTTTGATAATTAACATTAAATCATCCACAGACTTCGAAATTTATATATACTTTCTACCGCAAAAGACAATATTATATTTATTGTATAAAATTTGCATTCAAATTAAATTTTATTTATTTTTTAATTTAAATATATAATGTTTCATATGAGCAGAATACTTGTACTACAAAGTATTTTTTTTTTTCTTATATCTTGCTTTGTGTATAATGGTTTATACTCAACTTTGATATTGATCTGTGTAAAATTTCTACACAACCTTCGTCATTTATAATTTCTCTGTGGTTAACGAAGTGCTGTGGTTAGGTGTTTGACTTTTTGCATTGTGTGTTTTCTACATTTATTTTATTTTCCTATTAATATAGCTTTTACTTCTCAGTTTTTTATAATTTGTTTTCTTGTCGCGTGAAAAATCTTGTAAGACCGTCTCTGCAAGTGGTGAGTCTCGTTATATTATAATATGCAAACGTCAAACTGATAGAACACCCAACCAATCTGCTAATCACAGGCATGTCTAAATTAAATGGTAATGTCCTTGGCGCAATTTTTTATAATACTCTTATTTAAAAATATTCTTTAACAGTTCGACTAATACATATATATTGTCCTTCTAACCCCTTTTATCCATATCCCTTTTGGAGTTCTGCATTGACATTACTGAACTTTATTACCAGTAACAGTTTTTAAAAATATTCATTTTCATTTCTTTTCTAAGATTTGCAATATGTAACCTAAATGTGTATGCTATTCTAAATGTTAATGTAATAGACAGAAATCAGTTTCTTTCCTAAAAACTTAGTTAACTCTCTGGTTTTAACCTAAACCAATATAACAATTATGATATATATAACATAATATTAACAATGTTATAATTCCTTCATCAATGTTTCTTTATTTTAAGAAGCACTTGTTTATCTAGTCCACATATGTAGACAAATAAATATTTCTTAAATACAATTAATTCTATTTTATATATAAAGGAGTGCAACTGCTGATGTGTATACCTACAATAATTTTATTACCAAAAAAAGTACAATTCAGCTGAATCAGATCATTGTAGATTTGTTCTTGGTTACTTTACTATGACCGCTATTTTGACCCGTTTATATGGAATATTTTGTCAAACATTAGTTAAAATACATGTTAACTATGATGTATAAAGAAAACTATGATTTTTTTCAATGTAATAATAATAATATGCCTCAGATATAAGCCTGTCACAAGACAAATAAAAATGCTATTCTAGTTTCTAAACCTTTGATTCTCATGATTTTTAAAATGTGTTGATATCACAAGTAGACATTTATAGTTTTCAGGGCATGTTAAACATTCCTCGACTGAGCAAAAACTGTTGTCTTTGTTCTACTCAAAATACAAATAATGTTGCAAAATGGCCACAAAAGCTGTACAATACAAGCTATACAATTTAAAAATAAAACAGCTTTTTAATAAAATAAATATGTAGCTTGCTTTACATAATATGTGGGTAGTTAACAAACATCATTATAGAATTTAGAAGGATGTCATAACTCGTTTTAAATAAATAATTTCCTTTTTTGCCTAAATTAGCTACCTATATTACAATCTTATTATAAGTAAAATATAGATATTTTTTAAGCTTGAGCTTATCATAGTTTTTATTCCAGTTACGTAATTTTCGAACAATGAAACGAAATATTAATTATTATATTATTAAATATTGTTTTATTGTCTTGACACAACTGAAATATTCATAAAACAATACTATTGTATTGTACTCTTAATAATTAATGAACTTTTGCTTCTACACAGTCGGCCTTGTAATAACTTAGAAGGATGTTTTGGGGAAAAGACCTTGGATAAGTTGTATCAAGGACCTTAGGGTGGGACTTTACGAAAATCTCTTGTTTCTAGGTCGTTCCCTCGCAACGTCCCTGTCCTTAATATACGTTTTCATCCAGTGTAATTTACTAGCGGGAAGTTATTTTAGTAAATACCATTGGATCTATGTCATCATTTGAAGATGTCTTTTGTGATTCATCGTGTCTTTCTTTATTCTCTCAATTACGCTTTGCTCTTTCGGAATATTTCTTTACGAAAATATAACAAAACAAACCTTTATTTATTTCAACGAAGTGGCTCAAATTAATCGGACAAGTTGTCTGTTTATGCGACAGAGCACATTAAAAAAAATTATTAAATCTTAATCTAAATAAAACCTTGTGTTCTTAAAAAAATGAAATACTAATACTACCTACCTACATACATTTTGAGTTATATAACCACACATAATGTCTGTAGTTAACGCTAGTAGTACACATTTAAATAAAACACTTTAACGGTTTAAAACGCGCTACATATTAGTTACACTCCTCCCTCTCACATTCGTGACTGGCTGCTGCACAGTATCTGAAACGTCGGGCCGTAGTTTAAAATAACATTCAAATAAGTTAAACTAATATGTATCGCGTTTTAAACCGTTAAAGTGTTTTATTTAAATAACTATACATTTTATAACAATAGTGATAGTAATAATAGTAATTTTCGAAATGCATTTGCGAGCGGGTTATTTATGAGTTTCTGTTTTACAAATGTTATCGTTACGTTATCGTTGCTGTAATCACTAACACACTCGATCTAATTCGGCACACAGAATGGTGATACCGCAGTACAAATAGCATATGACATAGCGTATACGTGACGTTGATTTACAATAGTTTTAACCGCGGCTATACTCGTAAAGAAAAATTATTGCCAGAAGAAATAGATAGTTATTCACATTGTATACAAAAACCGAGTAGATTGCTTAGTTACGGCGTTATGAAAGGACAAACTAAAACGCTTACATTTTTATTAACTATGAAAGTTGAGTACAAATTATCAATCCTGATTTTTTAAAATTACGTTTAAAAACTTTAATATATTTCACATGCCTATTTTGCTCATGATGGCATTAAATGAATTAAAAATCGATTTTGAATTGAAAAAACAAATAGAGCAAACAACACGGAAAGCTGTGGATGCCGCTCCATGACCGGCCAGCGTCGTATTAAAAAAAAAATGATTTATTTACAATACAATAATATTTCTGACAAATCCTGGCTGGGTATATCGTGGGAAACAGATTTATTTTTTTCCTGGTACCTACATGGCTTTTCTTATTTTCGCATAAACTACATAAAAAAAAAACTTAATCAATTTTAAAGACAATGTACCACAGTATTATTTTATTTACCGATACGATCCGGACTACCTTTAATAATATTTCAGAATTAGAAAAAAAAAACGCTATAAAGCACGGTTGGCTGTACGAACGAAGGTTCGTTTTTAACCTTTTTTTTTGTTGTTAAAAAAATTTTTTTTTTATTTGCTAAAAGAAAATTATAACAAACCTAAACTATCTTTGCAAACATGCTTTAAATATAATTTTATAGCGCCTGAATATCGAATCACTGTGTTCAACCAGAGATGTCCTCTATGAATCACTCGATTAATAAATCGGACGAAACCGATATAGGCTACGTAGTTTGCTGCTTGCAATAGGTCGTTATAAGTGCAACTAGCAAATGGTTCGTAGACTGCAGTGTTTAGGGACAGGTCACTATCCCGTGGTTAATTCAACGTGGGACATCGACCTCGGAACGCGCGCCTGGACTCGCTCTGTCGCATCACTCGTGCTTTGAATAAAAGCTCATAATGTTGTTATTGTTATGAAGAAAAAGTTATTGTCTGTAGTTACGCACGAAACGCTTAACGATTTAAAACGCGAAATATATTTAACTCATTTTGAACCGACCACGGCGACTGCTGCCAGCGAAGCATCCGAAAAGTCTCTCTCATTAACTTTAATAATATATTTCGCTTTTCAAACCCGTTTAAAGTATTGCATTTAAAAGAAAATGTTTCATATCCCTAACTTAAACGTCCGATAAAGTGAAAAATAGTATAACTAAAGCCCTATATTTTGAATTGTCTAGGAACTGGGTGTTTCGTAGCTCGATAATAAACGAATTTTTATTTTTTGTTTTCTATATCCTATACCATATATAACATTACTAGGTAACAACTGTATAATTCTTTGAATTTGAACAACCAACTTTTTTCTTTTGAAATCGGTTTTCTCCTATAGTGTGGATTTTGCATAAGTATACATATCTTTAAAATAAGTCAATTACTTGAAAAACAACGTGCTAAAGTGTATAATAATTATCACTGTATGAAAAGGGAAAGCCATTTAAATATTAATTTCTTATGAAAAATTAAAATTAAAGTAGCTTTCCAAACGGCAGGCGTTAATTATTACTTCCTGAAATTATTCTTTTACACTATCAGATGCGACCTCAATTAAAGGTTTTAACGATACATTTCCCCTTAAATTAGTAACGACTTACACCTTTTGCCACTCAGTTCAATAATTGATATATAAAACGGTCTTAACGAAACACTAATATTCGCATCTTTATTGCCTTTCGTGCCCGTCCTAGTGCTATCTCAGTAAATTTCTATTTATATTGTTGTTATTTATAAATTAATTATTAAAAATATTTGACGACATGGTCAGGACTTGAACTGGCATACACAGCGTTCCCTATTGTTGCTATCAGAGTGACAGAACGGAACTAAATAGATTTTAATGGATACTATATCATTTACACGTAAAACATAATAAATATTTTATATTAAGTAATTAGTTGAATTTGTAAGTAAAGTATGAAATTGGTAGCTAAGCAAAGGATATAATTGATGTCATTTAAGTGTTTATTTGAACCAGGATATCGATTCGTGATAGTGTGTTGCGATACAGCAGGGCATCGACCCTCACCATCAAAGTGCAAGCGGC